CAACCCTCTCAGCACCACATTGTCTTACATCAAATTTTTTTCCTTACCTTTAACTTCTCAGGATCTTGAAGCCAGTATTCCATCTTTGCTGCTGAAACCCATCCCCAAGTGTGACAGTTTGCTGGTCCCTCAGTGTCCACAAGGGCCTGGCTACAGGATCCTTTTGACTACCAAAATATTTGGATACTCAAGTTCTTTGTCTAAAGCAGTGCTTCTCTGCCTTCCTAATGCTGTGACCCTTTAATACAGTTCCTCATGTGGTGGTGACCCCAAAACATAAAATTATTTTTGCTGATGCTTCATAACTGTAATTTTGTTACTGTTATCAATCATAATGTAAATATCTGATATAAGGGATACCTGATATGCAACCCCTCCAGTGGTCATGACTCACAATTTAGAACTACTGTTCTAAAATATGGCAACATTTTCTTTTCTTTTTGCAATCTATGTATTTATTGTGTGTGGAGGGGGTGTGCATGTACACATGTACAATGGTGTGCATGTGGAGGTCAGAGGATAAATTGTGGGAGTCAGTTTTCTACCTTACCATGTGGCAAGGACCTTTATTCAGAGCCACCTGGATGGCTCAAGAAACATGACATTTACTTAGAACCTGTGTACACCATCCTCTATACTTTAAGTCACCCTTAGAGTACTAACAGTGGCCAACACAATATAAATTCTATGTAAATAATTGCTGTACTGATTGTTTAGAGGATAAAAATTAAAAAAGTCTGAACATGTTTGGTACTTAAGCATTTTCCCAATTAATTCTAGTCTTCATTAATTGAATCTGTAAGACTCCAAACTGGAGTAAGTTTGGAGATGTGTCCCACTAATGAGTGCCCTCAGGATTTTCTTTCATCTTGGGTGTCTGCAGCATCAGACGTGTGGCCTAGTAAGAGTGGTTTTTGTCTGCCTCCTCATCCTGTGTGGAACTCTTTTTCCCTACTTCTTCAATATGAGGATTCATTGTTCCTAAACTCTAAAAAACAGTAATTATCTCTTCAAATATTGCCTTTATCTCACAGTTTTGTTATCTCTCTGCTTTATTTTAACTTTGGGAAATTTCCATTACTTTCTTGTATGTAAGCCAAGCATTTAGAAAGATTTTAAAAAATGTTTTATTCAATAGTTGAGGTGCCTTTTTCTTAGTGAGAGTTCTTCTTTTTGGGGCTGCAATTCTACTATGTGGCAGAGATGAAGATCACTTTGGATTTGGATTCCTTTGACTATGGATACCTTTCTCCCTATTGCAATAAAACCCATTATTTTGTAGGCTAACTCTAAAAAAACCTAAAGGAATAGTGTGGAGACATGGTTCAGTGAGAAAGTGCTTGGCTTTAAAGCCCGAGGACTTGAGTTCAGATTCCCAGAAGCCACACATGGTGGCAGGTATCTGCAATCCCAGAACTCCCACAGGGAAACGGGAAGTGGAGACAAGCATGCAGAGGCTTCCGGTTTGCCCACCACTAACCCGGTGTACACAGCGGTGAGCAAGTGGTGCTGTCTCCAGCAAGGTAGAGGGGGAGTCCAAACTTAAGGTTGTCGTCTCCACGCACACGCCATGGTATTGTGCAACCATACTCATAGACATGGGAACACACACACACACACACACACACACACACACACACGAGAGAGAGAGAGAGAGAGAGAGAGAGAGAGAGAGAGACAGAGCAAAAGAGAGGCAGAGACAGAGAGTTTTGAAAAGTATAAAAAAAATTAAAACCATCATGAACATGATTCAGAAAGAAGTGTAGATTTTATGATCATGTGGTGTCGGGATTCACTGAGAAAAACGTAAATCTACTCAAGGAGTCTAAGCCTACAGGACTGACAGTTCAGGTAATTATTTTAAACACAGAATGGTGAAATCAGGGAAACTCCCTTGGAGGAGTGAACTCTCCATCAGATGCTCTAAATGAGAGCCAAGGTCTCCAGGAGCAGTCACCATGGCCTCAGTTGCTCACTGTGTCTCCATGAGCTGCCACCATGGAGTTTCTCCAGGAGCAGTCACCACGGCCTCAGTTGCTCATTGTGTGAAGTGTGTGATCCCTATGTGTTCATTCAGGAGCCAGGGGCATTTGTATGTGTATATGGGCTTGATCATGTCTACATATGTACAGCCAGGGCTTAACAACAGCCGTCTTCCTCTCCATATCTATCTATCTATCTATCTATCTATCTATCTATCTATCTATCTTTAAGACAAGGTCCCTCATTTCAGCTAGTGGCTGGCCAGTAAGCCCAATGGATCGCCTGCCTCTATTGCTTTCCCTTCCCCCACCACTTGGGTTACAGAAGTGTGAAGTCATGGGTATTAGGAGATTTGAACTCACGTCCTCATGTTTGCACAATACCTTACCCATTGAGTCATTTCCCCATTCTCATTTATAACATTTATTTACTCTCCGTAACATTTCTGAGGCTTAAAAGGGGTCAACATACTTCTCCTGTTCTAAGGAATCCAATACTCAGACAAATTTAACAACTTCCTCAAAACCAGACAAGACAATGGCAGAAACACCATCACATTGTGAATTGCAAAAATCTTCCCCTGTAGGCTCAGCCATGTGTTTCAACACTTGGTCCTTAGCTGGCGACCTTATTTGGGAAGGTTCTGGAACCTTTAGGAGGTGGAGCCTTGCTGGAAGAAGAGGACCACAGAAAATAACCCTTGGGTTTTTATGCCCATCTTCCGCTTTCTGGTCACTCCTTGCTTCCTGACTGTCAGCTATCCTACGGCTCCTGCCATGGTGCCTTCCCCACAAGGATGTCATATGTCCCCTCAAACTGTAAGTCCTTATATATCTTTCCTCCCTTAAATCGGTTCCAGTCAGGTTTTTGGTTACAGCAACTAAGAAAAGTGACTAATACAGATGGAAATCAAGGTTTCCTGGTACTTGTCAATTTTTTTCATGAAATCAATATAAACTTGTGTGTACTTGAGATCGCTTATTTCTCTGTGGCTTAGACAGAGAGGCATTGCTTTCATTGACTTCGATGTGGCCTTTGGGGAATGGCTGAGCTTCTATGTTTTCATCCCTAGTTTACCCTGTTCAATCTCTTAGCCCAAACAGACCTTTAACACATGTGTAAGGACAGTCATGGAAATGGAAATCACTTCATCATGTAACACATTTCCTAATGACTTGTATGTAATGATGTCCCCATATTTACCTCATATTCTAGAAACCAACACCTAAATGCCAAAAGGAAAAAAAGACAGCTACCAAATGCAATGGCCACCTTCTGTTGGTCCTGTTACCCTGTTACAGATGCCAGTATCCTTTGACAAATATTTCTCGAGCAGCTTTTCTTGCCAAGCTCACAATGACAATTTAATGCTACCAACTCTGACACTGGATTATGAAGTATTATTTTAAAATATGTCAGTATAACTATGCATATTAATTAAAATGTTCCCACATATAAGCCTTGAACTAGACTCCCTGTGCTGATTGGAGACAAAAGACCTTTATTATATGCTATTTGACAGGCTAAGTGTTTTAATATCACTGCCAATCATTCCTACCAAGGAATATTCATTGTTGAGCATGAAATAGATAAAAAAGAAAATCTCATGGTACGATCATCTGCTAGAGTCACATGATCCAAGAAAAAAAGACAAGCAATAATGGTATTTACAAGCAGAAGACCCTGTCTGTCTACCTTTCCTGGTGGGACTGTGAGCGTCACTGTTTCCTTTGTGTTAAGATCATTGCAGCTTGATAATTGGCTTTTTGAAGCGAGAGTTCACCACATACCTGTGGGTTTTACATTAGTAGAGGTTCTCACTAGCAATGTGTGGAGTCCATAGCTGATAAAAAAAAACACAGTTGTACACATGGCACCCTAAAGAGCCAGGTGTACACACGGCACCCCGAAGACCACAGGTGTACACATGCACCCCACAGACCACAGGTGTACACATGGCACTCCACAGACCACATGTATACACACGGCACTCCACAGACCACAGGTGTACTCACGACACTCCACAGATCACAGGTGTTCACACGGCACTCCAGAGTCCCTGACCTTAAGAAGAGAGCCCCAAACTAGAGCAGACATTACCACTCTTTAGAATCCGGCCACACTCATGTCTCTCCCATGCTTTATAATGATTATGCGTCCCAGAGAAAGTTCTTGCCTGTGCCCCTCTCCCTACCTCTCTTTAGCTTTGCTTGAACAAAACAATTTAGAAGTGAATGGATTCAAATATGTGAAGATGGTGGGGGAGGGGAGAAGCCAGTCATCTTAGCCTGGTGAGTGTCTTTGTAACACAACACCAGAGCCTGTGCAACTTATAAAGAAGCTTATTTCTTTTAGTGTTCAAGTTTAGGGAGCCCAGTCTTGAAGGCTCTGCATCTGCTGAGGATCTTCTTGCTACATCATCCTATGAAAAGGAGATGGAAGAGGGGGTGAAGGAACACAGTAAGGGCAGAGAAGGAAAGTCAAACTCATCTTTCTATTAGGGACCCATTGCCACAGTTCAAGTAGCTGTGCTCTTACTCAATGCAATAGGCGCATTTATCAAGAGTGGCATTCTCATGACCCAGTTACCACTTAAGGTCCTTCCTTTTAATACTTCTGCACTGGGGACTGTTTCCAACATGGGACTTAGAGGGAACATTCCAACCACTGCACCAGTGGCAGGAAGGCTAGCGGTGATTTAAAAAGACTTGGTGAGATTCAGACAGGGGATGGCAAAGCAAGGCCTTTTGCGCAAATGTGAGATGCTTAGGTCATGGATTGGGAAAACGGATGGAAAGGACGAGTTGGAAGTTGAGAACCCAAAGCATGGACACAAAGCCTGGACCACTGAGAATCCATGCAGGCAACCATGGAACATCCATCCATGCAGCACCAGAATCCTTGGGTAATTCTTTTAAGACTATCCAGAGGGCTACTGGGTAATGCCCAACAGGATTATTCTACTGGCTGGTAATCCACCCAGAGGAAGGGGAGGGAGAGAGAAGGGGAGGAGGGGAGGTGGAGTTCCCAATTAGGCACAAGTGGTATGAGGTGGGCTGAGGAGATGGAAAAGGCAAAGGTGAGTTCAGTGGGGACTGGGTGAGGGGTGGCAGCCGCCATGCTCAAGGCTGAGCCTCCACTGCAGTCACTGGAGTGGCCGCCTGAGGGGTTTTTAAGCAATGAGAGTGAATAGATGGCATTTCTGTACTGGCTGCTTCGTCAGGAAGGGGGTGGGGTGTCCATTCAAGTCTGGCTGGGGAGTCTGCCCAGCCCACACACCGGGCTGCCTGCTTGTCCGCATTCACTTGTTTCCAGATTATGGGACTTTTGGTCTCTCCTACCTACTTAGCTTTTTATTTTTGTCTCTTGGTATTTCAGAGAGGTCCAGGTTCTTCTTTTTCAAGTGTCTGCCTCCTGGTAGACTCCAGCGAAGTCATTCTTCCTTTTGAGGGATTATACACGGTTGCCATGGAAGTAAGGCTTGGTTGAGTCACGCAGGAGGAGGGCCCTCTAGCAAGCCCTCCAACACACTGGACGATTCCAATTACTTAAATTCCTGCAGTTTCTCAGAAGGCATCTCCATGTTTTTGATGACTTTTGAAAACCTTTGACCTTGATTTAGGAATTTTTTAAAATCTGTGATCTGTCTGAAAGTAGCCTGTTAATAAACACCTAGAATCAGCGGAACTTTGAAAGCAGGCCACTCCTGCACAAATTGGACCGTCTCTGAATTGGTATTGAAAGAAACAAAACAAAACAGGCAAGCTGATGCCATCCTGGTTTCCGCTCTCCAGGGAGGAGGAAAACAGGCCCAGTGAATGCCTGATTGATTCTAGCTACAAAAAGCCAGCCGTAGACGGTAACTCTGAGGCAGGTCATTCTTAGATGCTGTTTGTATGTATGGTGTGGTTCTTCTCATGCAAGTAACTGCCCACAAAGTCAAGTTTAGCTTCTGGTGTACTCATCTGCCTTCTCACGGTCTCTCAGGTGAATGCTAGAGGACTGTTTAACACACCTTAGGTTAGGAAGTAAGCAAAATGGAACAAAGGATGACGAGAAATGTTTTTATGCTGCCCATAACCATGCCCTTGTGATCAGGCCTGACCCCTCAGTCAAAAAACTGTCAGGGTGTGGTTAACTGTTGGGGCTCCCTAAACACCCATAGCTTTAGGCTCTTCCCTGTGGTGTGGCCACAGGAGTGTTCACCCACAGCCTTCACCAATGCCATTCTCCCTGGAATCACAAGAGAAGGTTCCCAGCACTGATTATGGCTCACAGTTTAAGTCAGTTTCTTTTTCCAATGTAAACACCATTACTATGCTTGGAATATGCCTCCTTCCTGCCAAAATTCCTACTGAAACTTGGTTGCCAACCTAGCAGTGTTGGGTCCCTTGAGAAGGATTCGTATCTTCCTCAAGTGACTAGGCCGGCTCTTGAAAAAGTGGATTGATTGTTTTGAGCCCACCGTTAAAAAGTGTCTGTTCACCTGCCTCTCTCTATATATGTTGGGCCACCAATTTCTCACGCAGATCCATCATGGGTGCCAAGGTATATTGCAGCATGAGGCCTTCACCAGGTACAAACACCTAATCTTGAACGTCCCAGTCTCCAAGAGTGTGGGCTGAATACCTACCCCCTTTTACAAATTTCTTAGTCTCCAATATTCTGTTATAAGAATTAGATCAAAACACTAATCTAGAGTAGAAAATGGCCAGAAAACATTTTAGGATTTAATGATACAACAGATTGGGATCAGAGGTATTGTGAAATGGTTGCTTCTTGAGTTTATGACTCAAAGATACTTCATAGTTTATTCAATAGGTAGCACATTAAAAATGCACGGGGACAGGGTGACCGAAGAGATGGCTCTATGGGTATGTGCCTACTGCTCAAATGTGAGTCTCCAGAATATACATACAAGCTAGGCATGGTACAGCACACCTGTAATCCTAGCATCCTTATGAAATGGAGGTAGGAGCAAAAGAACCCTGTCTTCAGAACCACACACACAGAGCTAAACAGCAAGACCCTACCTTGAGCACAGTAGACATTGAGAACTAATACCAAAGGTGGCTCTCTGACCTTTATATGCATATCACAGCACACAAGGCCACAGGAATTCACAGGAACACACACACACACACACACACACACTAATACCCTGGTGGAAATGGGAAAAGGTCACAGAATATTTGTAGAATTTCTCATGTTTATAAGCAAATATATAACTACCTAAAGGTAGTTTAATTAAGAGTAAAATCAAGGAATAAAGGAAAAAAACACGCATACAGTAGGCGTTGCATGTTTTCATATAAAGATTATGCAGGGAAGGGAAACAATTCTCTGTCTAGTGATTGATGTGCCTTGAGGAAAAGATACATTAAATATAAAAGTGTCAAAGAAAGCATGTTTACAGTTCAGGGTCATGAGCTAGATCTAGCTTGTCACAGTTGAGCTTCAACTTCCTCCTCTGTTCCCCTTCAGAGGTGTTGAGCATGGAGATGTGGAGGCGTATTAGTTCGGATTCTACACCGCATTTATGTCTCCAGGAAGCAACACAGGGGATGATGAATCATCACTACTTGGTAGCAGCTAGCACTGTGAGGTCACCAGCAGAACATAAGCGAATGTTCACAAATGCCATATCCGTTTAAGAATAGAATCAAAATTGCTATTTTAAGAATGTTATAGAAATAGAATTTAATTTCTTGTTCTTTTCTCTGGAAAACAAGATTTAATACAAGACAAAAATAATGTAGTATCTCATTCCAGAATTCCTACTAGAAAGAGAAATGAATGTGGAACCTGAGATTTGGGGAGAGCTACTAGCTGGTCAGGATGAGATTTCCCCATCGCAGCTCCTCTAAATACCCGAACTTTTTTTTTTTAACTCTGTAGTTATTAACACTCATGGACACAGACAATTCCAAGCTCAAAACCTGATGTCAATCTCCTTTGACTACAGGATAACCAATAGACAACCAACACCACCACCATCAACAAAACAAGGTCTTGGCATTAAAGCGCTTCAGCATTCCTGCCTATGTCTCTTGATTCCCCAACCCCAACTCCATGCATTCTGCATGCTAGGTAAGTGATCTATCACCAAGGTACCCCCCTTTATTTGCTCACTCTGTTCTTGCCAAATGGGCTGTACTAAGTCAAATAGTGTAGCCACTTGAGTCTCGGGACACTATTAAGCCAGTGGAACCAGTGCCCTTATAGAGGAGGAGATGCAGAGGCACATACACTCAGGACATGTCATGTGGAGAGACACAGCTGCTTCCACACTAGTGGCATACATACCATGAAAGGTTTCTGTTAGGTTTGCTGAGACGCTGACAAACAAGGTTCACTTTAGTGAGCCAAGGATAGCAGGAGAAGCTGAAGAAAAGAGGGAGCAGAAGCTTCTGGAAAAACTTAAACTATGTATGGGCATTATCAACATATGAGAATGTCATCGCACCCTTATCAATATCCTTCAAGATTCAATTTTCTCCTTCCCAGGCCAATTGTCATTTTCTTGTGTTGTCACTTTCTCTCCTGTGCCATAGCCTCATTGCCAAATTACATAGTACCTTATCTTCTCCAAGGTAGTGTGTGCGTTTTTCAAAAGACAGTACTTCACCACCGCTCACTAGCCACAAGCTTCAATAACATTGCTACCTTTGTATAGACAGAATCCCTTACTATCTGCATTGTTTGGAGCAGCTTTGCAAACTGGGGAGAGAATATGCATTAGAGTTAGCATCATAAAGAGTAGTGACTTTGTGATGGTCCCCAAAGAAGTCTATACCCTACTTCCTGGAATCCTAGAGGCCAAAGGGCTGATGGCTATGAGTTGGATATCATTTGAATGTGACCCTCAAGGTTTCATGTTTGAAGTTTGGTCCCATGCGTGGTGACGTGGAAAGTGGAGGGACCTTCAAGAATGAGGGCTAGAAGGCGGGAGTTCTTATGTCATTGGGGTTCTGGAGGTCTCTCCAGAGCACGTGACTTCTGACTTTCTCTGTGGCTTTCTGGTAGATGACAGAATCTACTTCTGCATACCTGCCCATCACTTTCCATGGAGCCTTCACCCAAAGGATCTGCTATGCTGTTTGGACTTCCAGCCTCTCAAACTGTGCATTAAACCAATCTCTCCTTAAAAAGCAGTGCACTTCAGGTGTTTTTTTAAGCCTCTCCTTACATGAAAATAAATGTCTTGCCTGTCAATCCTTTTATGATGTGGAGGGTATCTGGAGTTGTTAGACACAATGTCTATATCTTAAATTCATTAATATTAACAGCTTTGCCTCATGAGTCTCACAATATTCCATTAAGATAAAAAACAATGCTAAGCACACGATTTTGATTTTTAAATGAATATCTCTTGATTTTTGTCCTTGTGTTTTGAGCTACATATTTGGGCATCACATGAGGCCCCATTGTTTATGTATTGGATATTCTTATCCTGAGTCCAGCACCCACTGGAATATTGAGGGTTGGAGTCTTCTGAAACAGGGCAATCGTTTAATGGACTTGTGCATTATCCCTGAGAAATGGCTTGAAGATTCTCATATTCACAGGGGATGTCCATGGAAATTTGAAAACACGGAGACACTGGGACATGTCTAGGCTGTGGGTGACCTGTGTCCAAAAATGGTGGATGGAAGAGGAATCAGGAAGGGAGAGAGAGGAATTTATAAGAACTTGAAACCAAGGCAGTCATCTGTGGCTGAGATGCCCATGATAAATCTACTTTACTCCTCAGGAGTCACTAACTGGTTCTTAGTAAACCAAATATCTGTCATACCTCTCAGTCAAGAATCATATACCAATTCGATGTCAACATCGAAACCAGTGTTTTGTGTTAGTATTTTCTACCCTCCCCCACCCCTCCCACCTCCCTGTGCTCAATTAGGATTCCAAATCCCTGGCTGCCAAAACTTTTGTCAAATGTTGCTCACAACATCTGTGTTGCTTAAATTCCTTCATTATGACAAAGTGCAGGAGATCAGCAATTTAAAGGATGAAGGATTGGTTTGGGCTCATGTTTTTAGTCCATGGTGGTGAGGCAGAATATAATGGTGGAAGGTTGGGGGCAGGGAAGAACAAAGCTGCTTTCCTCATAGCAGCCAGGAAGCAGGGAAATCCAAAGCAGTATCCTGTGACAAGAGACATTCTCTAAAGACACACTCCACACTCCTCTAAGTCAGCCCATCTCCTAAGAGTCCACTCAACCACAAACTCAGGAATCTCATAATCCAGTCACCCCTCAGGAGCACCATAAACAAAGAGCCTGTCCATCCACCCATCAACACGTGTCCTCCAGAGGGACACGACACTCCAAGCTTAATAGCACCATGAGTGTAACAGTGCTTAATAATTATTTTCAGATGAACAAATGACAACATATCCAGTAACTAAGAAGCCGTATTTGTCCCTTCCTGTAATACAAAGAGCCAGAGAACAGGCTTTCTCTTAGTGGAGGTTGTTTCTAAGCTCTATTCATACCTACTGAGCCGTATGGGTCTCAGACTGTGGTTGTGGATAAAAAGTAGTTTGATGGGTCCTGGCTGGGATTCTCATATTTTCCATGATAATGACTTCCATTTCTGCAGTCTGTGACTGTTTGGAAAGTGCTTGGGCACATTTTAGATAATTATGCATGGTTTTCAAATGCAGCAGAGCTTAGGGGGAACTCTGATCTCTTTCACTCCTCTTTCCAACTTGAACAATTCAGGTTGATTTCAGGAGAAATGCTTTCCCAGCTCCCTCCAATGCAGGATGGAGTCCTTATTTCTCAGTTACTGAGTCCTCTTCCTGCTATTTAAATCTGTCTACTCTGCTTCTATCTTTAGTAAGCATTTAGATAAGACCTGAGGAGTTAATGCTTGCCTGGCAAACCCTGAAGGAATACTTTGCTGTTCTTTTCCTTCTTTTATGAAGGCCGGAGAACTGCTCAGCAATAACACAATCGTGTTGATCTACTTCACCCAAGACAGCCAGGCTGTCACCAGCTCAGGCAGCCTGTCTGTGTGGATGCAAACATCCCTCTGAGGTCAGTATTTGGACTGAAAATGTAGCAGGGACAGGGACATGTCTATTCAATACAACAGTGACAGTCAGTTCTGAAGGTTCCTACAGGGATGACAAATTTTCTGTCAGCCAGAAGATCACAAAGACCCAGTCTAGAAGCATCTGGAAACACAGTGTCAGAGGGGAGTGCCACAAAACTGGGCACACGGATAACGACAAGAAAACTATTACAAAAAGAAAGCTAGCATCAAGTCAGCTTAAGGGATGCTGTAAAGAAAACTTCAGTAGCACGGGGCTCTGGTGATGTCAGTTATTATACGGCAGAGGGGAAGGAGGAGCAGTGCGGGGAGGGGGAGTGGGGGGGCCCGGGGAGGAAATTACTCCAGGGAGCAGGTTGACCCCACACAGAAACACTTAGGCCAAATGTCCAGGAAACTGCCTGTCATCCCTCTGGTCCTAGCTTCCCAGCACCGAATCATTTTCTTCAGGTTGTCTTACAAGGGCACTGGTAAAATGGGAAGTTGTGACAAGTTGACCCAGTAAGCTAGCCAGCTTCCCATTACTGTACCAAATGCCTGAGCTGACAGCTTATGAAGATAAAAATGTTTATCAGGGGTGCGCAGCTGTAGAGGTTCCTTTTGATGACCATTTCACTAAACTGCATTTTGGACTCATGGAAAAGTGGCATAGCATGTCAGGGAGCATGGGGAGAAAAATATCTTACCCCATGGCCAGGAGAAAGAGACCAGAAGCTAGGGTTGCAAAATCCCTTATAAGAGCATGCTCACCAATAACCCCAAGGCCTCCCAGTACCCATCTCTTCAGTGTTTCACCCTTTGCCAACAGAAAGGCCCCAGGCATTCATACTCGGGTCTTTGGAAATCATTCTGCATATGAATTATAGTACCAAATAGCTACCTCTCTCTTTCCTATACCTTTCGCTGTTACTCTCATTCTTTCTCTTGTTTTCTCTCTGCATGCCTGGCATGTGTGCATGTGTGCATGCATGCATGTGTGTACATGTGTGCGTTTATACTTGTGTGTGCATACAAGCCAGAAGTCAGTATAGTATTGTTCTCTTGATTGTTTTCCACCTTAGTTTTTTGTTTTGGGGTCTCTCAGAGGTCACTGGTTGGCTAGACTGGCTTGTCAACAAGTCCTAGTAATCTTCCTGTCATTGTCTTTCCAGCTCTGGGATGGCAGGCGTGTGCTACAGTGTCTAGGTTTTATTACATGGATCTGGGGATCTGACTAGATCCTCATGCTTGTGTGGCAAACACTTTACTCACGAAGCTATTTCTTCATCCCTATGTAATATTTTGAATTTTTGGGGTGTGGAGGATCTATGTACACATAGGCATGCATACATATTCCTATAGATGTGTACATGAGAGCACACACGTGTGCATATGCACATGGAAGCTAGAAGTCCCTATCAGGCATCGTTCTCATTTGCCCCTCCACTTGTCCTAGTGTTACCATTGCTATGATGAAACACCATGACCAAAAACAGCTTGGAGAGGGAAACGTTTATTTGACTTATGCTTCCATATCACTGTTCATAACTGAAAGAAGTCAGGACAGGAAATCAAGCCAAGTCAGGAACCTGGAGGCAGGAGCTGATGCAGAGACCATGGAGATGTGCTGCTTACAGGCTTGCTCCTCATGGCTTGCTCAGTCTGCTTATCTATAGAAACTAGGACCACCAGCCCAGGGGTTCTACCACCTAAAATGGACTGGGCTCTCCCACATCAATCACTGATCAAGGAAATGAACCATAGGCTTGCCTCCAGTCCAATCTTAGGGAGTCATTTTCTCAGTCAAGGTTCCCCCTCTCAGATGATCAAAGCTCCAGTCAGGTTGACATAAAACTAGCCAGAATACCACTTCATTTAATTTGAGATACAGTGTACCACTGAACCTGGAGCTTCTCTCATCAGCTAAGCTGCTTGACAATGAGCTCCAGGAATCCACCTGTCTAACTCCCCAACACTAGCATCACAGGAACATCCACTGTGCCCTTCTATGTGGGAGGAGGGATGGAACTCATTCTTGTCCAGCAACAACTTTAGTGACTGAGCGATCTCTCTAGCCCTTAACCACCATTGTATGAGAATTTGACAAAGAGCATCCTTGAAGCATCAGACTAGGATTGAACAGTAATCCTAGTAGTAAGGACAGAAAATATCTGAAGTAAGCAACAGTCTGGAGTAAAGGGAAGAGATGCAACCATGAACACTCAATTTGGAGTCAACGTTGAAGAGAAGCAGGATATTTGGAGGTAGTTTCATTAGGAAACTCAGAGTGGGTTAGATGATAGTCTTTTTTTTGTTTTTGTTTTGTTTTTTGAGATGGCTATGCAGAGATTTTTTCCAATTAAGTGAGGAGAAACATCAGTGTCTTATCCAGGGCGGGCTGTCCTCCTTTTTGCCCCACAATCTGGCCTGCCTATCTCCTTTGACTCTTGCCTGATCTCCCTAAGGGATGGTGATGACAACAGTCAAAGGGCAAGGGGCAAAAACATTAACACCCTTTTCCAGGTTGTGCAGGCACAAAAATATTTAAACATCTCCTGGCTACACTATCTGCCTTACTATTTATTAATAATTGGCTCATGGATATGATGTACATTATTATCCAGCTCTTCACTTCCCAAATGATCAACCATCCATATGGCTGTTTACTTATCAAGGTCACTAGGATTGGGCATCACCATCACAACTCACTGGACGATATCCAAGCATGAGCATAGAGAGTGGGACTCAGGGAGGGAGGGAGCTGGTAGTCCTTGTAGGAAAAGCAGCTGAGCTCAGGAAGCCTGGAGAGTGTGCTTGGTAAGTGTGTTCGGCTCCAGATAGGAAGGCTTTTCAAGACTTTGCTTCCGAAACTATGGCGGTAGCATCCAACCCCAGTGGGTGCGCGCTTCCTGTCCCCTAACTTTCTCCAAGATTTGGCTTATTGGCATGAGATTTGAGTCTGGATTTTTTTCTAAGTGAAATTCTCACTTTACCATATGAATTATTCCTTTTGATTTTTCTGGTGAAATGTAAGGCTGCATCAAAGCACAAGTTCTGGTAAAAGGCAACAGTGAATTAGCATCAGATTCCAGGGTTACCACTGAGTGTGGATGATGCTGACCCCAGGCAAGTGACATGGCCTTTCAGCCATTTTATTTTTTCATTTGTAAAACTCACATTTGTGGTACTTATCCAAAGAAGGGTTGTGAATTAAATCAGCTATATCTGAGGAACATGTTTTACATAGTTGTAATGTGCCATAAGAAAAAGAATTGATGAGTGGGAACAACTCAGTCGATAAAGAGCTTTGCTCTACAAGCACAAAGGTCTAAGCCTTGCTCCTAGGCACACACATAATAGATGCACAAGGTGGCTGTAACCTCAGTGGGAGTGCGGGTGGGGGGTCCCTAGATACTCATTGGCCAGTCAGCCCAACCAAATCAGTGAGCTCCAGGTTCCATGAGAGACTCTGTCTCAAAAAATAAGGTGGAGAGTGATGACAGAGACACTCAGAACCAATCTCTGGCTCACACACACACAGACACACAGACACATAAACTCACTCATACACACACACACATTCACACACATATACACACACATGCATGTACATGTACATATAAATGAACACATGCACAGCACCCACCCACCCACACTGCCTATGAAGGCATCACAGATGAATACTAACAAAAACTAGGGAGACACTGGACACAGGAGATTATTTAACATGCCAATGTGTATCTTGAGAAAACCGGAGCACAGAATTCAGCCAATGGTCAGTATCTCTCTAAGGAAAATATTGGAACTGTTTTCTGGGCATGGGTCCATGGGGTAGCATTAGGAGGCAGAGAAGCTTCTCTACATCGATTGTCATGGATTTTGAGACAATGGGAGCTTTGAAGGGCAAAAGAAAGTCTTTGGGTAAACTTGGGAGTTTTAAGCTCTTAGGAGTTCTCCTGATTTGTTATGTCATACTTTCTAGAACCTGAGATCTTCCTATTTATACTGCCCAGTAGTGTGGAAACACACCTGTAAGTGTGCAGAAGCTGAGCTAGGATTGCCCAGGAAGACTACCAGCTCTAATGACTCAGGCTCTTCAGTGGAGACCCCAGCACTCAGGTCTGCTCGTCTGGGTCACAGCTGACTCCAGTGACCTGAACATCTTAAGAGCAGGTTCTGTTTTCTGTTTAACTCCTCTAAACAGAAGTCAGTGAAGAGTCCTGGACAAACCACACTGAAATATTTAAATACTAATCCTGTTTGTAACTCACAGTCCTGGAGGAATCTTTGTGGCTGGTCACTGCATTGCCCTTTGGAGCAACATATTATTTGGACACGGAGATAGACTTGGTTTAAACCTTCCTTTATTCCATTCCTGGAAATGAATTTCATTGTTAGTCATGGGCAAAAGTCACTTCTTTTTCAGAACTGCCAAAGGTTGCCTTTCCTGGTAGTATAACTTTTCATTGATTTTCCTAAGCAGCATGGCAACTAGTTAGCCCTTCATCTCTGCTTTCAGTAGACTCCCTTTGCTGCAATACCAGATTCTGCTCTTTACATCTTCCGTATGCTTTAAAACAAAGATTTGCTTGTTTTTGAGTATGTGAATATTGAATATTTGCCTGCATGTATGTATGAGTACCACATGCATGGCTGGTACCCATGGAGGTCAGGAGATGGCATCAGATCCCTTGGAATCGTAGTTGAAGATGGTTGTGAGACACCATGTTAGTTCTGGGAACTGAATCCCAGGCCTCTGGTACCTTTAACCACTGAAACATCTATCTCTTGAGCACCCCTCGGGATGCTTTTTAAGTAGTGACAGGATGGAGAGACGGGAGGGGGGAGTGAATGAAGGGCATTGAAGAACAGTTTGGAAACATACACAGACACTTTAGTGTTCAGTATAGAAGTCACTGGTGTTTGTGTTTGTTAATTTTCTCTACTCACCATTGCATGATTAAGCCATGCTGGAAAGTAGTCATCCAGGCCCTTGGGGTAAATGAGACTTCGATCATAGTAAAAGAGGGTCCAGAATACCAGGAATATAAACTGGAAGGGAAAAACAAAAATACTACTTAGATTTGTTTTTCTTCAGAGGTTTCTAAACTCACCAAGGAAACAACATAAAAATTGATGACAGTTTGAAGGATGTCGTATACACAATTTAGGGACATAAAACAAAAGGGTAAATGCTTATTGTTTAACAGCTGTATCTTGGCTCTCTGGGGATTCTTCAATGAGGGCAATGCGTTAGAAAGCAGCAGTGGCCATTGTGGCATGCAGAGAGGACACAGTTAAAAAGGATGCATAGACCACAAGTCCTTCATTGTCGCCAGTGATCTCCCTCTCATCCGAGTTTATACCAAGAATACTGAGAATGAGCATATGGAATGGCTTGGTGTAGGTTTCTTGCCCCCTCCTCCCTCTAAATAGTCATGACAAAGGACAACAGGAAGGTTTGGAGTAGGGCTCAGCACCAGATCATTTATAAGCTACAAAGTAAGAGTTGGATCTCTCCATTGCTCAGAACTTTGGATTTATCTGTGTCTACTGTATCCCTTGTGGGCCCTATCCCAGCATCTGTCCTCTGTGTTATGGACTGTGCTAAGATGATGGGGTGGGCTATTAATTCTCCCATCACACTGCCTTTTGACCATGCATAGGCTCAACTTGCAAGAAAAATGGACAGACTCCATTGTTCCTTTTAACATCCTGAACTTCAGAAGATTTTCTGAGAGTGGAGGCCGAGGTATTGCACAAAGAAACCTGGGATGCTAAATGTTTGTGTCGTCTGAGAACTCACTGGAGGTGAAAGTTCACTCTGCACTTAGTTTTATAAGTCTCCACGCTGGGGGAATGACTTCTGCTCCCAGGTCCTGCTGCACAGCCAGCATGTAGGATCTCGGTCTGTTCCCATCCCAGCCAATGAGTGGAAGCACCCAGAGTGTAAGAGCAATGTGGGCAGCACCAGCAAACAAACTTACTTCTGCTTGTTCATAGCTTGCTTTTCCTGGTTTCTGCCCATCAGACACAGCGAATGAAGCATCTACTCTGTGCTCTGCATAATATGTCTTTTCTGTGAGCCAGCTTTGAAGATCTTTTGTCTTTTTTTTTTTTTTACAGATTTTGTATTTCATAGTTTTCTGAATGCATAGACAGGGAATCATCTTCTCCACCTAGGACTCTCCTTGCCACCATCATGATGGAAGCGAGGCTGTCCCACGGACATGGTCATCCCTTAGCATTCGTAAGGATACTCCAATCCACAGATGCTCAGGTCCTATATATGTAATGGGCTCACGTTTGCCAAGGACCCATGTACACCCTCTTATGTGTGTTAAATCACCTAGAGACTGCTTATGATATCTGCTGAGTAGTTGTATTTTAGTTTAATTTTTATTCATTTGTCAAATATATTGGATCCTTAGCTGAATTTGTGGGTGCAAAACTCACAAACGTGGAGACTTTTTAAAATTATATTTTGATTAAACTTTCCCCATCAGGCAGCAACAACAAGAACCATGCACAAAACCTTCACAAAGATAGAAAGTTAATGATAAGCTCATCTGTCATATATCCTACTTCCTGAAGACACTGCAGTCTTCCTGAAGGTCAATGCAGTCAGTCCCCAGATAGGACATTTATGGAAATGGAGATGCTCTGGTTGTAATAACAAGTCCCCAGACAACCTTGCTATTCCAGAAGTGTTCGTCCCTTACACACACCTCTGTTGTTACATACACATTTGGGCACTTACTGTGGATATTGGAAAAACCAATGTGGAAAAAAGTAGATCTCTGGTTGATGTGATGAACTTGATGTCTTTCCTTCCTATGATTCTTTTCAGCACGTCATCTAGGCAGGCGACCCCAAAGAAAATGGCCTGCAAGAGCTAAATTCATTACAACAAATGAGCATTTACATTGGCTTTAATTAATGCATTCTTCAATGGTATAAAACCGCAACCCTCTGGGAGCTATGTTGATTTGAGAAAGAAGGAATGGAGTGCTGTTTGGGTGAAGAGCCAATTCACGGGCTAGGATTCCAGCTCATTGGGCCTTGACCTTACACACTAAAACTCATTGAGGAAATTCATTTACGGGATAATAATGTGTACAGTATTTAGTCTAATGGCTTTCAGCTAAAACGGAAACAAAATAGAGTTTAAAGGGAGAATGTAATGAGGTGTATAACATAGTCACACAGAGGTAAGAACCAAACATACGGCTCAGAGAGAAGGGCCAAGCACAGTGGTGGCATGGTCAGGAGGCCTTTCTCAGGAAAGATAATTCAGGTAAAAGCCTCGGGAGCTGGTAGTAAAACTCAAGTCAATGAGGACCTGAGTTCAGATCCCTAGTATTCGTGTAAAAACAGGTTACAGTGCAGCATGTGTCTGTAACCCCAGCCCTGTGGGGTGAGGACAGGCAGGTGGACCCCTGAAATCATTGGGCTGTCAGCATAGTCAGTGGGTAAGCTCTGGGTTCAGCGAGAGACACATAATAAAGTTGACCTGTAGCCTCCACACATATGTACACATGTATACACACACCACATACATGCATAAGCGTGTTCTCTCTCTCTCTCTCTCTCTCTCTCTCTCTCTCTCTCTCTCTCTCTCTCTCTCTCTCTCTCTCCCTCACACGCACACCCCTCTCTCTAAGAATGCCATAATGAGGGCCATGAGCCCCAGGGGAGAGCCCTGTGCAGTTCCAAGAAAATACAGACAGTGTGAAGCCAGTGCAGTACCCCCCCACCTTTACAGAGCCTGCCTGACTGCCTCAGAGAGGCAATCTGGCAATTGGAAGGATTTAACTCAACTCACAGGATACAGGAAGCAAGGCCCAGAGCTCTGGCCCCTGCTGAGTTCTGTGAAGCCTGGGAGGCAAGGCAAGAGAGAAACAGGGTCTCTTTCACTCAGGTAAGTTTGAAGGCCCCTCATCGGAAATGATTGGCACTAGAAGTATTTTGGATTGATGATTTTTTGGTCTAGATTTTAGAATATTAACACATAATGGGGATATGACTCAAGTGTACAAACAAAAATCATTTATTTTTTATGTTTACTTCTTAAAATAACTTGAAGGTAACCTTATACTATATCTTTTTTTTAATTTTGTACATGAAATCAATTTATGTGCTGTGAATTTTCCCATTTGTGGTGTCATGCTTGTGACCCAGAAGCTTGGATTTTAGAGCCTTTCAAGGGTCAGGTCTTTGGCTTTGGGATGCTAAACCCTTAGTATGGCCTGATAGGAAAACCTTGTGTGGTCTTGGTATTTTGTACAATGCTATGGTTGCTAATTTAAAGCCTGGTGGGTACTGACTATCCTGAGATTAGGTTGAATTTGAAATATATTTGCCTTAGAAATCATCTCAGAGTTGAGCAGTGGTGGTGCAAATCTTTAATCCCAGCACTAGGAAGGCAAAGGCAAGTGGATCTCTGTGAGTTTAAGGCCAGCCTGGTCTACAGGGCAAGTTCCCAGGCAGCCACCAAAGTCACAAAGAGAAACCGTGTCTCGATAAACAAAACAAAACAAAGTCATCTCTGCCTTGGCCTGTGAGGGGCAGTTGGATTCTAGCCTAGAGTATGAAAGTTACAGAGCCCAGGGAGCTGGGTTAATAATTGAACCGAGTTGGCTTCTGGGGAACAGTGAAGTCTAGACCCTGGTGAAGATGTAAAGTTAGCTTCAGGACACTCCCTGTGCTGAGGCATGAGTCGGGGAAGAAGCAGGTGTGGATTCATCCATGACTCACTGCTGAGTCCTCAGACCAGCATCAAGTGCACTGCCTGGAGCTTCTCAGAGACCCAGGATCTTCCCTGTCTGCGGACTTTAGGATCACAGAGCTTAGAAAGGAGATCTGGTGGTACTTTTTAAGCCAGCGCTCTAGGGGATCCTTACGGGGACAGAAGCCTATAGATTAGACATCATCATTCAGGGGTCTTACTGAGGACTCAGATCTGCAGTAGCTGACTTTTAGTCATGCTTGTTACATGCCAGACTCAAGACTCACTATTAACTCTCAAATGTCCTTGGGATGTGCTAGAATTAAGCTTGCAGGCCCATCTTAAAGATGAGGAAAATTGGCCTGTGGTGGCATTTGCCTTTAATCCCAGCACTCAGGAGACAGAGACAGGTGGATCTCTGAGTCTGAGGCCAGCCTGGTCTACTGAGTCAGTTCCAGGACAGCCATGGTGACACAGAGAAACCCTGTCTTGGGTAGGGGTTAGGGGTATGAGGAAAATGGGATAAAGAAAGATTAACAAACTTGGCTTCACGCTCCATGGTTCATTGTCTGGTTCTTGAGCCAGATTTAAAAACATCAGATTTCTCAACCAGATTTTAAAACATGAGATTTCTCAAGCAGTCCACACAAAGTTCTGTGGGAGGTCAGAAGAGAAACAATTCTGAGTGAGAGGATAAAATACAACTTTAAAAACAACAATGTCCAGTTTCTACCCTGGAGATTCCCTTTTAATGGGCCTGGGATGGGGGTGGGGAAGCCAGGTCTGACATAGGGCGTTAATAAATCTTCCCGTGTCTGCCTGGTCTTCTTTTCTGGTGTGTGTGTTGGTGGGATGGAGGAAGGTTTAGCCCTTGGAGCCATTCACTTTGGGCACTGTTCCTCAGGAGCCATCTTCCACCCTGGTTTTTGAGGCAGAGTCTGTCCCTGAGAGTTGGGGACTCTCTGCTTCAGGCTGGTCAGCAGGCAAGCCCCCAACATCTCCCTCTCCACCTTCTCTGTGCTGGGATTACAAATTCATGCCGCCATGCCTGGACTCTTAGAGAGGTGCTGGGAATGACAGTTCAGTCCTGAAGCTTGTGCCCAGGCACTTAACCAGCTAAGCCTTCTCTCTCGCACCATATTCCTGGGTTATCCTCATCCTAGGTAGCTGAGAATGAGGCCCATCCTGTCTATGCAAACCTCCTCTTGGAATTAAGACCAGATGGTCTCAGGAAGACAGGAGTGGGAGAAGGCCTAGGTAGTCAGTCCTTCGATGTGGAATGAAATGCTAAGGGAGTCGTGAGAAGGAAACAAATGCTGGAACTCTCCTCTTGTGCCACACGGGGTGAGGCAAGGATTATCCAAGGTAACCGAGGCAGATTCAGAGGCAGAAAACACAGGCTGGGTGAGACTCATAAGTTGCCTAGGGAAGCAGGAGGCTTCCCAATGGCAGAGGGTGTGGGGGAAGGGAGGGAAAGGGCCACAGCTCTAAATGCCATGCAGTGGTTCCCTCCAGAATGCTTATACCTACTGTTGTTGCCTTTGGAACCAAGCCCGAGAGCTACAGAATTCTGAGTGTGCACACAGTCGTTTGCACATGGGTGTCAGAAGTTGCATCTTCTCCCTCCTCCTTCCCCCACCCACATAGCTCTCAGACCTAGTTTCACTTCCAGATACTCTGGCAGCGGCAGCCCCTTCCTGCCTTAGTTTGCAGAAGCAACCAGGGAGTCAGGGCTGCTGATTGACACACCAATTCATCACACACTGGGTCATCCCCTTGATCTGGCCTCTTTGGGAGAAAGGCTGTCTCCACCCAAAGTGAGGGTTATACTACCCTGTGTCCTTTGGTCAGAGCTTCTTAGAGTCACTGAGAGTCAAGCCCATCCTTCCCTTATCATCACAGCCAGAGTATGAAAACCGGATTAAGAAAGACAGTAAATTACTCAGCTCCTCCGAGGTTTCTCTCCATCAGTATGAATTAGCTCCCCACTGTAAATGTGCCAATCACCTCTCCCCCTCCACCCCCAGCTTACACATCGTCTTGCAAGACATATGCCACACTGGCATCTCCAGATGCCAACTCAGTGCGAGGCAGCCTTGCTGTCACTGATCTGAGTGCTGACATGCCACATCAGTATCAACAATGAATATTTAGGTAGCAGCAGGTCCCACATGGGTGTTGGAGAGGAAAGCATGAGGGTGGTGCCAAGGCAAAGATTGGTTAGAGCTGGGGCATGAAGGGACCCCTGAGCAGAGTTGGGGGATGAGTGTGAGAAGTCAGGGGTTCTAGGATGTCTTTAGGGGGATCAAGCGCACACTTGGATTAATTTAGGTCATTCGGATGAATAGTGATCTATTTATCTAGCAATGAAAAATAAGACCATGTTTACACACACACACACACACACACACACACACACAGTGTAATAACACTCTTGAAAGAGAAAAGAGTTATCAGGAGAAAACATCATCTATGGACTCCTTTGCATCTTCTCCAGAAATGTATATGTTGGTGTTTGAACAACTACGGAATTCTCAGAATGTAACTGTATTTGGAAATAGGGTCTTTACTTAGGTTATAATGAACACATCTAAGCAGGCCCATGCAATCTACCTAGTGTTCTCTAAGACACAGACATACACAGGCAAGACCATGAGAAGATACAGGGAACAGATGGGCCATCTGCAAGCCAATGAAAAGACTTGATCTCAGACTCCCAATTTTCAAAACAGTGATACAATAAGCTTCCATTGTCTACTAGGAAAGCCCTGCCAAATTATGTGTGGCTTTACAAACAGAACAAGAATTGGGGCACTTTTAAGAAACAGCACAATGACTGTTAACTTCAATCTCTCAACTGATAAGCAACATCAGACTCAATAAGGAATACTTGGGCATTGTCAGGTGCCACATGGGTACTGCCAAGAGAAAGAGACAGCAAGAGCTAGGGTGTAAGGGAATCACTGAGCTGATTGGAGGATGAGGAATGTGGGAAGCCAGGGACTCTAGGGAATCTTGATGGAGGTCGAGGGAACATTGGGATCATCTCAGGTCATGTAGATGGACAGTGATCTGCTCATCTACCATCCTGGGACATTGGCTCCCAGGAAAGCAGGCTTCATGGTGTCCTGATGATCAAAGCCTTTTCATAGCTGATGTTTTCTGAT